CATTCTGTTCGTCCTGCCCTCGTGGCCCCCGGGGTCCCTTTGTTTCGTTGGGCGCCCCAGTGTTTGTGACTGCAGAAAATAAATGTGATGTTTGCTAAGATACGCGCACTGTCCCTTGGGCCGCGGCCCCGCCTCCGGGTACACCTCCCTTTGACCTCAGGGTGCGGAGGAGCCCCTGGGAGGCCGACACCCCGGAGCTGAAGGTGACGGGATGCAGCTGGGGCGGGGCGGGCCTGGCTCCATGGGTGAAGCGGCTGCCTGGGCCCGGGGTCCAGTGCCCCTTCGCGGGAGCTCCGCGTCTCAGCTTCTCTGCTCAGGCGCGTACCCTCGCAAATAAGTAAATCTCTTTTAAAAAGACCGTTTCGGGAAACGGCAGCCTGTGGGCTGTGTCCTTGAGTATCTGCGGCTGCGGACCTGTTGGGACGCGCCCTTGGTTTTACCCCCGGCGCTATACCCACGCCCACAGGAATACGGGCGTGTACTGTGTGCGTGTCCCGGAGAGTCTCCGCCGAACGTAAGTTTCTCCGTAAAACCTTTGAAAACCTTCTCGAACAGGTGCGTGAAACATGCACTATCATGACTGAACGTTTACGTTCTCTTCGACTTTTTGCCAGATTAGAGTAAGGACTCAGTGCAGCTCTTGCATGTGAGTCTTGGCATGAATGATGCTTCCTTAAGATAGGTTAATAGAAATAGAATTACTTGCTTAAATATTTACTATTTTTTAAAGATTTATTTATTTCAGGGACGCCTGGGTGGCTCACTGGTTGGGCGTCTGTCTTCAGCTGAGGTCATGACCCTGAAGACCCAGGATCAGGTCCCACGTCTCCCTGCATGGGGCCTGCTCCTCCCTCTGCCTGTGTCTCTGCCTTTCTCTGTGTCTCTCATGAATAAATAAGATCTTAAAGGGATCCCTGGGTGGCGCAGTGGTTTGGCGCCTGCCTTTGGCCCAGGGCGCGATCCTGGAGATCCGGGATCGAGTCCCACGTCGGGCTCCCGGTGCATGGAGCCTGCTTCTCCCTCTGCCTGTGTCTCTGCTTCTCTCTCACTGTGTGCCTATCATGAATAAATTTAAAAAAATTAAAAAAAAAAGATCTTAAAAAAGATTTATTTATTTGACAGAGAGCACGTGGGGGGTGCAGATGTTGAGATAGAATGTCAAACCGACTCCCTGCTGAGTATGGAGTGCAGCTTGGCCTCCGCCCCACAACGCTGCCAAATCAAGAGTCATGCTTAGCTGACTGAGCCAACCAGGCACCCCACTATTTTTTAAAACTTTCACTCGAGTGCAAACTTAGCAGCACCTCGGTGGCTTAGTCAGTTGTGTTGAACTCTTGATTTCGGTTCAGGTCATGATCTCAGAGTCCTGGGATCCAGCCCTGCACCAGGCTACATGCTCAGCATGGAGTGTGCTTGGCCCCCTCCCTCCGCTCCTCCTGCACTCTCCCACTCTCTCTTTTATTTATTTATTTATTTATTTATTTATTTATTTATTTATTTATTTATTTATTTATTTATGATAGTCACACAGAATGAGAGAGAGAGGCAGAGACACAGGCAGAGGGAGAAGCAGGCTGCATGCACCGGGAGCCCAACGTGGGATTCGATCCCGGGTCTCCAGGATCGCGCCCTGGGCCAAAGGCAGGCGCCAAACCCCTGCGCCACCCAGGGATCCCTCTCCCACTCTCTCTAAAATAAATAAAAAATAAAATCTTTTTAAAAAGAGCAAAGTTACTCTCCAGAAAATGTACCTTCGCCAGAATGCTGGTTTTCCTACACCTGTCACCACTAGCCCTTTGGCCGATTTTTTTTTTTTTAATTAGTTTGCACGAGATGGCTCAGTGGGTTAACTGTTTGCCTTTGGCTCAGGTCATGATCTCCAGGTCCTGTGATGGATCTGGCATCGGACTCCTCCCTCTCCCTCAAATAAATAAAAATCTTTAAAAATAAGTAGGGGCGCCTGGGTAGCTCAGTCGGTTAAGCATCTGCCTTCAGCTCGGATCATGATCTCGGTCCTGGGGTCAAGCCCCATGTCTCAGGCTCCCTGCTCAGAGGGGAGTCCACTTCTCCCTCTCCCTCTGCCCCTTCTCCCTGCTTGTGTGCGTGTTCTGTCAAATACGTAAAATATTTTTAAAATTATCTAAAATACATAGTCTGCATGAAAAGAGCAAACAACTCAGAAACAGTAAAATCAGAGTTTTGTGGCTGACTGGGCTTAGCTGAGTGAAGAAGCCTGCTGTGACAACTGTTGGAGCTTTTTGGTGGAAGGAATGTGCTCCCTCTAAAATACTGTGTCCTGCAGACTTACCAAGCCCAGGATGCCTGGCAGCTCTTCGGTGGATGTTGTGGGATTTTCTCCGTAGGTGACCGTGTTTCCTCACAATAAAGGCAATTTTACTTCTTCCTTTCCAATATGTGTATCTTTTTTATTTTTTAAAGATTATTTATTCATGAGAGACACACGGAGAGGCAGAGACCCGGGCAGAGGGAGAAGCAGGCTCCATGCAAGGAGCCCGACGTGGGACTCGATTCCGGGACCCCAGGGTCACACCCTGAGCCGAAGGCAGATGCCCAACCAGTGAGCCACCCACATGCCCTCCAGTCTGGGTGCCTTTTAGTGAAGAATTTGTCTCCTGCTTGTAGGTTGGATTTCCCTGGTTGTCTGCATGCCTGGTAATTTTAGGTTGGATGCCAGACAGGCTTTTCTTTGGCGGTCGGATACCTTTGTCTCCCAAATAGGTTTGTGAGCTTTATTCTGCGATGTTGTTAAGTTACCAGGAACGGTTTGATCCTTTTGAGTCCTTGAAGATTTCTTGCATGGGATGGGGCCAGAATGGCTCAATGTGGGAAGCCTTTCTCTCCCACACCTTGCTGAGGCAACACCTTTGTAGGTGGCCTGCCTGATGCCTCCCGAATTGTGAGGTTTGCCCTCTTGGTGGTGGGGCCAGATACTGGTCGCTGTCCTGCTTGAGCACTGGACAAAGTTCCCTTTCATTCGTCTAGATGGTCCTCACCCCCACCCTGGGTAGATTCCTCACGCACTTGTGCTGAGGCCAGCTGCTCACTCAAGGCTTCTCTCCCTGCACTGCTCCCCGGGCCCTCCGCCCTGCCAACTCTGGGCCCTCGGAGTTTCAGTTCCATCTCCTAAACTGGGAGTGTCCGCTGGGCTCCACCGGGAAACTCCCTCTCCAGACACCGAGCTGGGGCAATTGCAGGGCTGAGTCCTTCCATTGTCCTTTGTGCATGACACCTGGTTTCTTCACAGGCATCATCTATCGTGTCTGGTTTGGGGGGTTCTTTCAAGGAAGTGGCAGGGTCAATCCATTCCCTGTTCCATCATATGACAGAACAGAGAGTCTGTCATTGAGGACCAAGGAGACTGCTCCTGTTGCAGGCTGGAGAGACAGAGGCGCTTGGGGGGGGGGTTGTCGTGATGGTAATGACAATAAGACCGTCCCCTGACAGCAGGCAGCAGTTGAAGTGGCTTTGGCAAGGGTTTCTTTTGTTCCCTTGCTTTCTTTTTAAGAATCGCTTTTTAAAAGATTTTATTAATTTTAGAGGAAGAGAGAACAAAGTGTAGGGGCAAGGGGAGAGAGAGACCCTCCAACAGACTCTGCACTCAGCACAGAGCCCGATGTGGGCCTCGATTCCAGAACCCTGACATCACAGCCTGAGCCGAAACCAAGAGTCAGATGTTCAACAGAATGAGCCCCCCAGGCACCCCTTAAAAATCCTTTTTATGACTTTTTTGAGAGATGAGAATTTCACTTTTATCCCACCGCCCACTTCACCTCCCCTCTTCCTTCTCCCAAAATGGTTCTCTTCTATTCACTTGGGGTTTCTTTCCCCCCAAGGATAAAAATTGCTTTGATTAGTCATTCATTGGCTTAGTTTCTGTGATCTCAAAATGCGAATGTTCTAAAACCATCTTCCTTAGCCTCCGCGGTCTCTTCCCACGTACTTCCCCCCAGGCCACCTGCCTGCAGAGCGGCCATCCGACCACTGCCCTTGGTCTGGGCTTCAATCCTTACTCTGGGTCAAGCAGCTTTCTCTTCACCTCTCTCATTTGTGTTTGAAGTCCGGCTCAGTGAGGTTCAATTTCCATCCTGTAAACCTCCCCCCTCTTAGGTGTCCAAGTCTAGTAGTTTTGGCAAATGCACAGTTTTGGAGCCGCCACCACCATAGCCCGTTGCCTGCGGGGCTGCGGAAGCTGCTGGGGGCGCGACAACGGTCAGGCCCCTGACCTCCGCACTCCAAACCCTCCCTGGGCTCCCCTGTCCCTCCGAGAGCAGCACCTGGCCCTTCCAGTGGCGTACGCGGTTGGATGTGACCCTCGCCCCCCACATCTTCTCTGGCCTCCTCCTGTCCTCCCACCTGGTCCCTGTGACCCCGCCACACTGGTCTCCTCCCTCGTCTGCCACAGGCCAGGCCCAGGCCCCCTCAGGGCTCTTTGCTGTGGGAACTCTCTGCCCTGGGTCCGCCTGGCTCACCGCCCCCGGTGACGTTAGCAGGCCTGCGGGCGGGAAGCAGGCAGGTGCGGCCCAACGGAGACGCCGCCCAGCCACCCCCCGGGAGGAGTGTGGGTGCCACGAGGACAGTGAGGAGCCGGGCACGGAGCCCGACAAGGTCCCCCCGATGTCCTCTCAGGTCCCCAGACCCACTAGGCGGAGAAGAGGGTGGATAAGGGCAGGCGGGGGCAGCAGCGGGGACACGACCCCACACCCCAGCTGAGGGGCACTAGGCCCAGGGGGACTGTGCCGGTGGGTGTGGGTGCTGACGGGGTGGGGGAGGCTGGCAGGGGGAGCCCCCAGGGCTTTGCTGACCACGGGTGGCCACGGCCGCCCTCCCCGGATCCCAGACCCTGCACCCCCTGACCCTGCCTCCTGTTCGTGCAGAGGCTGATGCCCCCTAACCCCCGCACCTGCCCCCAGGATACCCCCCACCTGCCCCCAAGACACTTCCTCCCTCAACCTGCCCCCAGCATGAGGCCACACCCCGACTCCACGTTCCCGACGTTTAATTCGGAGAACAATCCGCGAACAGCAACAACGCAAAGTTCATGCCAGAGACGAGGAGGGGACCAGTTTGCGGCCCAGGACACGCAGCCCGACTCCTCCTCCTCCTCCGAGGGAGAGCCAAGGCCTAAGGCACGGCCCCTCTCGGCCTCGGGGGGGCCCCCCCCCACAGGGCGGCTGAGGGTGCAGGCAGGGGGGCCGGGGAGGGGAGGGCTCACCCGGGCCCCCAGACCCGCTCAGGCCCCTCCGCCAGCCCCCCGGGCTGCAGGTGCTCAGAATGCGGTCCCCCCCAGGGCGCGGAGGGGACACTGCGGCCCGGCTGCGGGGGGCCCCAAGCGCACCCTGCCCCTGCCCTGCACCCCCACCCCAAGGGCTGCTCCCCCGGCCAGGCCCCCACCCGTTGGGCCCATAGGAGGAGGAGGGGTAGCGGGGAGCACTCGGGAGGAGCCGGGAGGCTGCCGCCGACCCAGGGGAGGCCGCGGTGCCACCCGCAGATGGCGGGGGGGGGGGGACATAAATTAAATAAATAGGTGGCTGGGGTATAAATAGCGGGGGGGGGGTATTGCTGCCGCGGGGCTCAGGGCTGGGTCCCGTCCCCCTGCCCCACGCAGGGCCCGAAGGAAGGCACTCAGGAAGGGGCCCGCGCGTCCCCGGGGGCTGTTGGCCGGCGCCGCCCCACTCCAGGGCCGCCCAGGACCGCGGGCCGGGGCCGGCCGCCCCCTCGGTCAGCCGTTGCCCGACGCCAGCCCGATGATCTGCTCGAGCTTCTGGCGCAGCTTCTGCTTCCGACAGGCGGCGTCCCGGTCCAGCGCCGCCAGGACCTGCGGGGGGCCGCGAGCCGGGCTGGCGAGGGCCCCGGGCCTTCCCCGGGGGGGCGCCGCCGCCCCCGGCCCCAGCCCTTCCCCCCCGCGCCCCGCGAGTCCTCCCCCACGGCCCTCCGGCCCGCACCCCGACCTCTCCTGTGCCGGGCGCAGCCCCTGCTCGGGGCCTCCTGGCGCTCGACCATCAGTGGCCCCCGCGCCGCCCCACGCCCCGGCTTCCTGACCGCCTCCCTCCGGGGGTGGACGGGGGGGGGGCTCATTCCCGTGCCAGGAGGCCCCCCCCGCCCTCTCGGGGTTCCCCCCACCCCACCCCTGCCCGCTCCACCGCCCCGCCGCCCCCTCCCGAGTGTCCCCGGCCCCGGCTACGTGGGGCTTTCTCCCTCTGCCCCTGCTCTCTTCCGGAGGGGAGCTGGGGGGGCTCGGGGCTGCCAGGGCCGGGCTCGCAGGTCCTCACTTCCGGTAAGGAGGCATCCTCCAGTGCACACGTGTGCGCCACACGCCCGGGGGCCCTCTAGGGCTCGGCCCACCGACCCTGCGGCCTCCCCCCCCCCGCCCCAGCGCACCCGTCAGCCCATCCGTCCCCTGCACCTCCACCAACCACAGCTCCGTTCCCTGCCCAGCGGCTTGTCGCCTAGGCCTCTCAAACCCCAGCATCCCTGGAAAGCCGGGGGCCGGTTGGGCGAGGCGTCGGGAGCGATCTACAAGGTGGGCTGCGTGTCCCCCCATCCCCTCCAGCACCCTGCAGCGCCCTTCACCCTCGCTGAGCCCACCAAAGGCCCCGCCTTTGCCACCAACCGTGTCGTCAGGGCCTGTGGGCCCGGCACGCACCTCCTGGCGGTACTTGGTGACGTAGAAGTAGAGTTCGCTGAGCGCGCTTAGGATGTTGAAGTCACTGGCGTGGAGACGGGACTGCTCCACCAGGTAGGCGTCCATGTCCTGGTCGCTGATGGATGCCATCTTCGCGATGTCCCGGTAGTACCTGCCGGAACCCTGAGGCGTCACAGAGGCAAGTGCGCCCAGGCTCCTGCCGTGGCTGCCAGGCCAGTCCTGGGCCTGTCTCCTCAAGCGGACCCAGCCCAGGGAAGGGGGTGCGGAGTGGGTTCCCCGGGCGGCCTGGCCCCGCTCCCCCACCCGGCCGGGGCCGCAGGGCAGGGCGCACCTCTCCACCCAGCTCTTGTAGTTGGGGATGTCCTTGGCGTAGAGCAGCTTGTTGGATGGCGAGTCCTTGCCCAGGCGGTGCTCCGACGTGGAGCAGGAGTCCATGAACGTCTGGGCCACCACAGACAGGCAGGCGTCCGTGATGCTGCTCTTGTGGATGTCGAACACGAACTGCGGGTTCTTGATCACGTTCACCCAGAAGCGCAGGGGCAGGCTGCAAAGAGGAAGAAGCCCCCGACGCGCCCTCCCGTCACTGCTCCCTTCTCGGCTTCCTGGCTGGCCCGGGCACGTCTTGCCCACGGGCAGCCAGGGTGACACACGGACGTCAGCGGGCTTGTGTTTCAGCGTCCACCGGACCTCCAGCCTTCTGCGTCGCTGCACTCCCCCTCCGCCACAGCCGCCACAGCACCTCTGCCCCATGCTGGCCCCGCTACCAGCGTCCCACGTGCCCCACAGAGCCCACGTCCGGCGTCACGCTCACTCCTCTCTGCCTGTGCCAACACTGACGCACGTCCCCTCCTGCCCGGACACCCACTCCAGCCCCCATCAGCCACCCTACCCCGTGGTCCCCAAGTGCCGCCAAAGCACTCGTCTCCTCCAGCCACCCGTCCCCCAGCAGCAGCCCAGCACCGGGCAGTACCAGTTGCTCTTCCAGGTGTGGCGCACGTCGGGGTCACTGATCTGCCGCTGGTCGGCCTGCTCGTCCAGGAAGTCGAACATGTACTTGATGGCCAGGGGCAGGGCCGAGCCGCGGTGCGCCGTGCTGAACACCGTCTCAAAGAGGTCATCCACAAACTTCTGCAGCGTGCCCTGCGGGGGCTCAGCAAGAGCACAGGCCGTGAGGGCGCCCGGCGGGCACGTCCCCGCAGCGCACGGGGGACGTAGGGCTCCCCTGCAGGGACCACCTCGAGCCCGGCTGGGAGTTCCCGAGGCCCTCAGAGCCACCTGCTGGGTCTGACCGACCGTGGCCTCCCCCCCAGGCCGGGCCATCCGCGGGGCCGAGGCCAGGGCGGCCCGGGGCAGGCCCACACCTTGGTGGCCAGCAGCCGTGTCAGGTAGATCTCCGAGACCATCTTGCTGCCACGGTCCCCCTCGCGGTGGTCGGCGTGGTCGTGGTTCTTCACCAGGTGCCACAGCTTGGTGCCCGTTTCCTGGTCGGGCGTGATCATGGGTGCCCGAGAACGGAGGCTGTCGGGGCTGCTGGCCGTGCGCAGCAAGCTCTCTGGGGTGGGGAACAGCGCGCTGCTCAGGCCAGTGGGGTCCCGGCGGCCACGACCTCAGCTCTTGCCCCCCTCTGCTCCAGGAGCCCAGCAAGCCGAAGGGGACCTGCCCACTCTCACTGGCCCTCCCTCCCCACCTCTACGCTCTGCGAGCACCCCCAGGCGCCAGCCCACCGTTCGGAGAGGGGGCTCCCCATGACGGGTGACGCGGCCTCGAAGGGCATGGGCCTGGCAAAGGCAGCCACACCAGAGGCACGTACCATAGCGGCTGAGCGAGCGTGTAAAGGTGAAGGAGTTGGCCATGTTATAGGCGGACACCTGTTTGGGCACCAGCGCCACCAAGGAACCGTCTGTCACCTGCAAGCCCCAGAGACAGAGGGAAGCAGTGCGGGAGGCTGAGAGGCCTAGGGGCCTGAGCCAACGCCCAGGGGTGCACACGTCGGGAGGCACCCGAGGGTCCCCGAGGAGGGACCGTGAATGCAGGAGCAAGATGAGGGAGGAGGGGGCCCCAGCTCCTGTGTCCTCAGGGCAGGGCCATGGCTCCCAGGTGGAGGAAGGCCCCCAGCCCCTCACCTGGTAGTGAGCCAATGAGTTGACCCTCTTCCAGTCACACTCGATCTTGGTGGTGACATCTTCGTCCTGCAGGATGATGCGGGCCATGCGACCCTGACGCCACTCTGCAGGCCACAGACAGCCCTTGAGGTGCAGCTCAGGGTCCCCGGTCCCTGGACCTGCTCCCCTCACAGGACAGAGCCCAAGTGGGGGTGTGAAGGCCCGACAATGTCATATGGCTGCAGGGTGGGGACCAGGAGGCAAGGGCAGGTCACCTAGGTCCATGTCCTCGGCTTTGGGGCGCTGGGAGTACGGGAGGCCCTTGTACACAGCGTCCAGCAGCTTATCTTTGGCTTGGGTGATGCTGTCACAGTTGAGCACCTTCACTGGGACCTGCGCGCTGCTCTCGCCCTCCGGGAACACGCAGTGCAGGGTCTGAGCGGGAGGGGAGCACAGGCTGGGACCCGGGCGGAGCTTCCCCCCGTGCCTGGAGCCCTGCCCGCCTGGCCCCCAACTCACCAGTGTCTTATAGTCGATCTGCTGCCGAATGAGCTTATCCTCGCTCAGGGAGTAGCGGGCCTCGCCCGTGATGGCATCAATGGGGCCCTTCTCCATCTGCTGTTTGATGGCGCAGTAGAGCAGGAAAAGCGGCTCTCCGGCGCACTCCTGCGGCGTGGATGGGGGTCAGGGTGGGGGTCGAGGTCGGGCACACAGCTTGCGGCTTCCCCCCACCCCTCTGACCCTCTACCCACCGCCCCCAACGTACCTTCAGAAACTTGTGCAGCAGGAACGTGAACCAGTTGGTAAGCATCTTCTCGGCCACCGACTCGGTCCTAGGGCAGAAAGGGCGCTGGGCCGGCGGGCAGAGCAGGGGCCCAGGCGGGATGTGCTCTGGCAGGGGTGGGGGCGGCGGGGGGCGGGGCTGGGCCTCGCGGTACCTGCGCAGCAGCAACTTCGGGTGGTTCTTGCTCTGCAGGTTTTTCTCTATGAGGTCGGCCAGCAGCTGCTTGAGCAGCCCAGTGGCGTAATCGAGGCGACTCTGCAGGACCACCATGGTGAGGGAGGCCACGGTGCCGCGGTCCCGCATGGAGAAGCTGCTCTGGGCCTCCAGCGTGTGGATGAAGGTGAGCACGAAGGCGCGGCTGTGCAGCAGCTGCCCGAAGAGGCGCAGGGCCTTCTCGACGTTGGGGGGCGTCTGGGAGGGACGGCAGGTCTCAGACAGCGGGCCGGCCCCAGGGGACGGGGGACGGGGCGGGGGCGGGCAGGGCAGGGACTCACATCCAGCTCCTTGAGCACCGGATGGGCCTCGATGCCCGGGAAGAGCACGCGCACGGCGTACGTCCGGTAGTCCAGGAAAGGGATCTGCACCCCGTCCATGTGGCTTGTCAGCTCGTGGATATCCGTCTGCAGCTCAGCAAAGGCTGTGGAGGGGCAAGGAGGGAGAGTGAGCAGAGCAGGACGGGGCCCCGGGCCCCCCGCCCTGCACCCTCCCCCGTGCCAGGCACCTTCCTTGCATTCCAGAGCCACGCGGGACTCCAGGTTGTCCATCTGGAGCTGAAGCCGCTTGAGCGTGCGGTCGGCATCCTGCGTCTTCCGCTTATAGGCCACCAGCACGGCGGCGATGGCCAGCAGCAGGAGGCCGCCGCCCGCCGCCAGGCCCACCGTGGCCGGCAGGGTCAGCGCCCGGTCCGCCGTGATGTGCAGGGTTCCCAGCCAGAACTCCAGGCCGCCTACCAGCACCTGCACGCCGTGCTCGCCGTGAGCCCGCCTCCCTGGGCCCCGGGCCCTCCCCACGCGCCCCTGCCGGCCTCCCCGGGCCCTCCCCGCGTGCCCCTGCCGGCCTCCCCGGCCCCGGTGCCCTCCTCGCGTGCCCCTGCCGGCCTCCCCGGCCCCCGTGGCCTCCCCACCCCACCCACCATGACAGGCTGCCGGCCCGTCTGGCTCGGTGAGTCGCACAGGAGCTGCGTGTCGGAGACGGTGAGCGCGCAGGGCTGGCCCCCGATCAGCACCGTGTAGTTGAGGCGGGAACTGCCAGCTGCCGCGGGGATCAGATTCTTGCCCTGCGGGTGGGGGACACGGTCAGCCGGGGGCGCCCAGCCCCCTGCCTCTCCCGGTCTCTGTGCCTCACTCGTACCTTCAACACTACGTGGGAGCCAGGCTTGACGTCCAGGACACCAGAGGGCCCAAGTGGCTCAAAGCTGGGGTCAGGGTAGTAGGTAAAGGAGGACCGGTTCAGGGAGCGGGCTGTCTGCACGTGATCCAGCAGGAAGCCAAACTCGTCCGGGTGTTCACCCTGGGCCTGGGGCTGGGGCCGCCCCAGGAAGATGCCGGGGGCCTTACAGAGCATGGCAGTGTCGTTGATCACCTGGCATGTCTGCGGGAACGAGGGCGAGCAACCTGGCACGTGAGGGCACAGGGGGCAGGGGCGGGGCGGGGGTGGGCAGGGCATGGTGTGGGCCACTGGTACTCACGTTGATGGTCTCGATGCCCCGGTACTTGGCCCGGACCCGGGGCTCCTGGACTGTCAGCAGGTGGGTCCCGCTCACGGTGATGGCAGTGCTTCCACTGGGGGCAGTTGGGGAGGGGAGCCTGAGGCCCACTCCCCAACTATGTCCCCCTGCCCCCCGCAACTGCCCCCAAGCTAGCTCTGGAAGGTTATCAAGGCTGCTGGGGAGCCCAGGGCCCCTCCATGTAGGGTGCGTGGTGAACGCCAGGGGCTGTGTTGTTGGGAGGACTCTCCCATCTGGCGATGAGGGCTCGGGCTCACCGGATGTGTAACTCAGCGCCCAAGGCCCTGGTCACCAGGCAAGGCCCCGGGACAGGAGCTCAGGGCCACAGTCCCTGATCCCCACCGATGCTGACCAGGCTCCCCGTCTCTCCTAGAGTCTTACTTGATTATGCTCCAGGTAGGCTCAAGGCGAGTGACAGTGGGGTCCTGGGTGTAGGTGTAGAGGACTCCAGGGCTGGAGATGTTGGCGCGGTCGATGGCCAGGGTGATGGGGGCCTGGCTGGGGCCCAGGGTGGACACGGGCGAGATACACACGATTGCCTCCGCGTCTCTCCTATGTGGGCAAGGGGGGCATTCAGGGCAGGCGGCCCGGGCCCACGACCCGTCCCGTCCTCGGGGCCTCCTGCCCAATGCCCAGGCCGGGGCTGACGGGGCCCTGCCCACCTCACAAACTGGCACTCGCCATCTCTCACAGTCACCATGACCCTGCTGCCGGCATCCAGAGAGCTCCCGGAGATGGTGAGCCGTGTGCCCCCGGACGCCGGGCCCCGACTGGGACTCACGCGGTCAAATGCTGGGGTCTGTGGGAGAAGCAGCCCTGAGGGGAGGGAGGAGGCAGCCCGATGGGGGTGGGGGGTCAGAAGGGGTGGCAGCGGAAAGGGCAGGCAGCCCACGCACCACAAAGCTGTAGAGCTGCTCGGACTGCGTCCGGAAGTCAGCGGAACAGTCGCCCACACAGAGCTCCGCAGGCCCTGGCGGCGGGCTGGGCACCAGCGACTCCTCCATCTCACACACGATCCTAGGGGTCGATCGGAGCCAGTGAGGGCAGGCGCGGGCGGCCCAGGGCCCAGGCACCCGCACGGCCGCACTCACCTTTCGGCGCTGACGTACTCAGAGGGGATGGAGTTGCAGCGCACGCCTGCCACCCGCAGGCCCACCTCGCGGTAGCTGAGGCCCAGGTTCTCGCCCACGATGGTGACCCGCGTGCCTCCCTCCTTGGGGCCCATGAGCGGGTGGATCTGCAGAGCAGGAGAGGCGAGAGGGTGAGGCCAGAGTCGCGGGCGCCCGGCAGACAGACCGGGGGCGAGGGCGGCCGACCTGGGCGATGCGGGGGTGGCTGCAGCGGGTGCCCTTCTGGCTCGGGTGCATCCAGTTGGTCTTGGGCGCCGGGCAGTGGGCCCGCAGCTGGCACCTGTGCTCCGAGACGCACCAGCCGCAGTTGAAGCGAGGGTCGGCCTTGAGGCAGAGGCCGCAGCTGGGCCGCTGCGCCCAGCACTTATACAGGAGAGCTGCGGGCAGAGGGCGCTGCTGGTGGGGGGGCAGCTGCAGGCAGCCGGGGGCGCTGGGACCCCGACGAAGGGTCTCCCCTCCCACCTTCCCGGCCCCAGCTCATGCCAACTGCGGCCCAGGACCATCCCGCCCCTTACCTCGGAAGGTGGCAGGCTTGTCGATGGGGAAGTCCCCGTCCCAGACCACAGAGAAGTCCAGCTCGGTGTCACCGTACTCGTCGCCCTCATAGGAGTACTGGGAGAGAGGGACCGCGTGACCCCAAGAAGGCGTGCCAACGCCCGGCGGGAGAGCGGGGCGCCCCGGAGCCCCCACCCGCCCCAGCACCCCCAGCCCGGCCCGGGCCGCACCGAGGCGTTCTGGCACTGCACGCTGCTGCTGTTGAAGCGCACGGCGGGCACCCGCTGCTGGCGCCCCTGCACCCGGACCACGCACTCGTAGTTCTTCTGGCCCGACTGGGGCTGCGGCAGGTTCTTGGCCCGCAGGGTGAGGGGCTGCATGACGCCCACCGGGATCAGGAGGTCCCCGCTGGGCAGGATCTCAGGGCAGCCCTGAGGGGAGAACGTGCCCGTCAGCCACACGCCCACCGCCACCGTCTGGACCCAGCGGGGCCGGCCCCGGGTTCAAGGGGCTCCAAGGAACCAGTGAGACGAAAGGCAGAAAAGCCAGCGGGCAGCCCCCGTGGAGCCCAGCCCCCTCGCGCCCGGCACCCGCCTCACCTCAGGGCTGTGGACCCTGCCCTCCTGGAAGGAGCACTCGTGGGGGTGGCTGGTACACACGTGGCGGTACTTACACCAGTGGCAGGGGTAAGGGCTGCTAACGCAGGACATGCACCTGCGGGGGAGAGGCTTCACGAGTCACAGAGAAGTCTCTCTCCTACGGAGGCCCGCACGAGGACGCAGCAAGGGACAGGGACAGAGCGACGTGGGGACAGGGCGGGGAAAGGCCACGACTCACGACTGGAGCGCGCTGCAGTTGTAGAGGACGAAGTCCACGCCGGCGAACTTCACGCCAGTCTCCCTGGAGAGCAGCCGCAGCCGCACGGTGCGCGTGGCCCCTGCGGCGAGCCCAGGGGCGGCGGTGAGCAAGCCGGGGACCGGAGGCGCCCCCAGCCCGGAGAGCCCCAGCCCACTGACCGTGCCCCCGGGTGAGCGCCCGGAGCTCCTGCGGGGACGGCGAGGGGCACTGCAGCTCCCCGGAGGGCAGCAGGACGGCCTCGCTCGGCGTCGCCTCCTCAAAGGCACAGCTCACACCGGCGCGGAGGTCTGGCACGTTGCGCATGGCCAGCGTCAGCTGGGAGAGGCACACGAGTCAGGGCAGGAGGCGCCCCCGTGCGCCCCGCCGCGCGCCCCGCCACAGCCCGCCCACCACGCCACTCACCTGCACCCCGGGGGATGTCACCGAAACGTTGTTAGGCCGGACCCGCACCTGGACACACTTGCTCAGCTCCTCGGCAAAGCCGTGGGGGGCGGAGGCGCCCGGACAAGCCCCTTGGCGGCAGCACCTGTGTGGGATCGGGCCGGAGCCGGCTAGGCAGCTGCCCCGGAGGGCCCTGGCCAGGGGTGCGCTGGCGCTCTGGAGGGAAGAGGGGACACCCGGCCCAGCCCGTAGTGCCAGGCAACGGCGCGCTTTGGCCTCATCCCCCGGAGTGCAAGGGCCGTCACTGGGGACGTGGGTTCTGCTCATTAGTCGGATGAAGCAGAAGGGGAAGGCGGATGAGGCCACAAGGGCACGACTGGGAGGAACAGGCACGTGGGCGGGGGCAGGCAGTGCCCCCCCAAGCAACAGCCGGCCTCGCTGGCTCCTCCCCAGAGCAGGGCCGCTCCAAAGCCAGCCTCCCACCGGTCCCCCGCCGCCACCCTCACCTGTGCTGCAGCACACACCAGCCGCAGTGGGGGTCCCCGGAGCCGAGGCAGGCTGCGCAGCTCGCGTACTGCTCGCAGGTCTCCACCGGGAGCTGGCTCACCTGGGGACAGGTGCATCAGTACCCACCCCGCCCCCACCCTGCCGCCCGCCGCCGCCCGCCACGGGCCCACCTGCTTCTCACTCAGGAGGTAGATGTGCCGGTGGTCAGGGCTAAAGAGCAGGTCTCGGAGAATGGGGCTGCCATCCACCACAGGCACCGTCTCGTAGAGGTGGGCATACTGGGAGCCATCAACCCGGACCTGGGCCGCAAGAGATGCCAGCCTGAGGCCAGAGCGCCACCACACGCACCCAGGAAGTCCTCTTATCAAGGCGGGGCCTTCCCAGGCTCGACCAAACTGAAGCTGGGCCCAGTGGGGCCCGGCACCCGACCTGCCCACTACCCCAGGCCCGCACAGGCAGGGAAAGGAGGGTCCGAAGGCCACCCTGGAGGCTGTTGAAGGTGACTCAGCCACTCAAAGAGGCCCCCAAGAAAGAGAGACGGGGAGATTAATGTCGCCTACGCTGAGGGGAGAGGGGTGAGTGCTCCAGTAGGAAGGCTTTTTAGGGGGATGACACCGTCCTGGAACAAGAGAGCGGTGAGGGCTGCCCGGCCCTGCGAGCTTGCTGAAAGCACGGAGAGGCACACTGTAGAGGGGGAGCAGCGTGTGGTTTGGGAACGATGCCTCCCAACGAGGGCCCGAGAGGGGAGCAGACCAGGCCCCCAAGAACCCAGCAGCTCCCTTTACAAACCTGCCCCCACCCCCCGCCGTTCTCAGACCTCAGGGGGGCAGCTCCATAGCTGCCCAGTGTGCCAGCGGGTGAGCACGTGGAGGCCGTCCTGACTCCTTCCCTTCAGAGCTGGACACTGGAGCTCCCGTGCGTCTCTCCCTTCCCACTACCCTCTGCCCCGGAATGGAAGCGGCCCCGGTGTCCGCGAGGGGACAAGAGCACACAGTGGATTGCATCCAAACTTCTTCCTCGTTAATGCAACTGAGGACTCGGCAATGATGGCTCAGCCAGGGCCCTGCTCGCTTAACAGGGACACCCTGAGACGGGTCTGGGCTGTCACACAGCCGGCAATTGAGGCCACGGCAGGCACTGGTGCTGGTGAGTGCGGACGACCGAGGAGCCACCCGTGCAGTGTGGCCGGGTCTCCAGGGCCCGGCCTGGAAGTCCGCCTTCCCCCGTGGGCCGGGTCCCCTTCAGGGCCTCGCAGTGCACGATCCTGCCCGAGCCCCCGGCCTACCTTCTTCAGACTGCCGTTGCGAGTGCCGATGAAGACCACGGAGTGCTGGCGGTAGGTGTAGGCAGCCACGCTGGCCATGCCGTCACTGCTGTCGGCCAGCAGGGGCAGCCCCTCGATCACATGCAGGCCACCCAGGGGCTGGTTCAACACCAGCCCGCAGAAGTTTCCATTTATCTGCATGGGCTGGTGAAATAGGAGGGATAGAGTGAGAGTCAGAGCTTGGGGGCACCAGCTGGACCGAGGCCACGAGACCCCATATTCTGGAAGGAAGCGGGATGCGGAACTGGCTTCCCAGCAGCCAAGACCAACTGGTCGCCCTGGGACCTCACGGGAAGGCAGGGGCTGAGGAGCAGGAGCGGGGAGGGGAGGGGGAGGCGGCAGGCGGCCCCAGGCCCAGATCCGAGGCCTGCAAGACGGGGCTGCCTGGGAGCGGGAGCCGGCCGCCGGCCGGGCCGGGCCGCGCACAGGAGGGGCCAGGGTAGGCCGCGAACAGAGAGAAGGCAGGCCGGGGAAGGAAGGACCGGCGAGGCCGGGAGCTCCGGGCCGCACAGCACCCAGGCGGGGCCGCGGCCAGGGGCGAGGGCGCGCTCACAGTATTGATGCAGGGCAGCTCCTTGTTCAGCAGCCAGGGCAGGGCCAGCGTGCCTTCCCCGCGGTAGCAGGACTGGATGCGGCGCCGGATGTGCGCGTTGATGTTGCTGAGGGTAAAGAGGCAGAGGATGGTCTGCCGCGGCGGGCTGGCCCGGTTCTTCTGGCCCTGAGAGAAGACGGTGAAGAGGACGTCCTCGTCGGGCGGCACCCCCAGGTCCTGGGCCAGCAGCACGCCGGGCTTGGCCAGGTGGGCACTCTGCACCAGGCGGTATTCCACGCCCCGCCAGGAGCAGCCGATGGGGAACTCGACGTAAGAGTAGAACTCCGAGTCCCCAGCGCACATGCGCACGATCTTGGACGTGAAGAACTTCTCGCCCGCCGTGTCCAGCAGCGTCTGCTGCGTGTCCAGCTGCAGCGTCAGGAAGTACACGAAGGAGGCGCTCACGAAGCCATAGATGTAGTAGATGTCGAAGGCGGGGTACAAGGACAGCGTGTCCGAGGGGATCTTGATCTGCGAGGAGACAAACTCGTCCTGGTACACCTGGGGAGCAGGGTGACGAGAGCATGGGCTCCCAAAGCCTGGCCTCGCGGCCCCCACGGCCCCACTCCAGCCCTGCTCCCACAACACGGCCCCTGCCGTGGCCAGGAAGGCCACAGAGGGTGCGCGGCCCCATCCTACACCCTGGCCGTGCCCGTGCCCCGCAGCCGCCCCCCTCTCGGACCGGGGCTCTTGCCAAGGCGCCGATGGCGGGGCAGGGGGCCTGCCGGCGGCCGGGAGTGTGGGGGCGCGGGCTCACCCACCAGACTGAACATGTCGGCGCTGTCCTCGTCGCTGATGAGCTTGCGGGAGCTGAGGGTGGGGAAGTACTCCGACTTGCCGTCCACGGCCGTGCCCACGAACAGCTTGCTGGGCCCCTGGCCCTGCTCCACAATGACCCCGGCCATGGAGTCCGGCTCCTGAGCCCCTGACAGGTAGTGTTCCTTGCGGTGGTGGGGCTCCCCCAGCTTGAAGAGGTCATCGAGGCGCAGGAACTGGCAGATGCCCTGCCAGATGCTGCCGCAGGCCACCAGGCGGCGGGCCGCGTAGTCAATGAGCAGCAGCTTGTTCACGTTGTCCACAGGTGCCAGGCGGTGGGCACACACGCGCATGCTGGGGGGCGGGTAACAGCGGGCATTGTCCTCCACGGGCCCCGTGACGTGGGCCCGCAGCTCGGTCAGGTTGGGGGCCAGCTTGAAGACGCGGTTCACTGCACCCACGAACACCTCCCCGGTGACCCGGTGCACGGCCAGGTGGGTGAGCGTAGTGTCTGTCACCAAGAAGGCAGGGAAGGGCCTGCTGCTGCCCACGGCCCCCGCCACGGCAGGGAGCACCAGCAGGAGGAGGCAGGCAGCAGGCATGGCCGGCAGCTGCGCCGGGCACCGGCCTGTCGGGGCAGAAAGCAAGTGCCAATCAGCGGCCCCCAGCGGGCGCGCCCCGGCCGCGGGCGGTGGGGCCACTCGTCCGCCCCCAGACCAGAGTCCCAGGTGGTGACCGCGGCCGGCGGGACGGGCCTCCGCCAGGGCGCAGGAGCGAGCCGCGGGCGCAGGCAGGCTTGCGGGCCATCAATCATCCCCCAGCCCCCGCTGGAAGGGAGCCAGGAGGCCTCCCCTCAGCCGGGCCACACCCAAGGGGGCAGCAGAGCCAGATGCTGGGGAAGGAAGGCGGGAGGCCCGCCCAGAACGAGACCCCAAACAGCACATCCCGGAGGCGATGGTGGCCGGCCACACACCAGAGCCGCTGTGGGCGCGCCCCGGGCCACAGAGCCACCCCACGCCCAAGTCGGGGGGAAGGGGAAAGGCAGAGAGTGAAGAATCACGAGTGTGTGTGTTGGGTGGGAGGGGGGACAGCACTGCAGAGTGGCACTGCCACCGGGAGACCCAGGCCCGAGGTGTGAGGCACGCGGGTCTGGGGTGGCCCCAGCGCCAGCACGTCCCCCTCGCCACCCCGGGGCCTCCGTGAGCTGGCCGTCCCGGGGCCTGGTGTGTGGCCTACGCACCGCCACACAAAGCCGAGCTGTGCCTGTCCCCACAGCCACGCGCCGAGACACAGAAGTCAGCCTCTGCTCAGGCGCACCAGCCAGATGGCCCCGGCAGCAGAGCGCCTCTCCCTCAAATCCAGGGGCAGCCGCGGGAGGGGCGGTGTGGGGGGCACCAGGCGCCCCGGGGAGCATGCGAGGTCCCCAAGTAGGCAAGGCCTTGGGGGCGGGGCCGGGGCCAGTGTGCGGGGTGCCCAGCTCGGCCAGGTCGGCACCCCCAGGCCACACCCAGCTCCAGGCAGCAAAGGCAGCAGAGCCGGCGGTGGCGGCCGGCGGTGCAGGGCTCGTGCTACCCTGTCTGCGCGCCAGCCCCCAGGGACACCCAAGGTACCGGCTTGGGGCGCAGGGCAGCGAAGGGACAAGGCCCGGGAGACAGGAGCTGGGAGACGCCTTTGCTACAAGGAACAGGCCCTGCTCGAGGCCGCAGAGTCCGGTTCACGCTGCTCGTCTCTCTGGGGCTCTTTTGTCGGGTCTGCATGCTGGACCCCCGATGCCGCGGCCAGGGAAGGAAGGGGGGCGCAAGGCAAGGGGCCGCATCGCACCCCAACCTCCTGCATGCCCCGCAGGGATGGAGGCGCACGCAGGCCGGGAGGGGGGGCAGGGGCAGGCTGCGCACCCCCGGCCCAACCCAACGTCCACCTGTAAGCGGGAGCCCGAGGGGGCGGCCCGAGTCCGAGGCGGCTGCAGCGCCCGCCCGCAGCGCCCTCGGTGCCGCGGCCCGCAACCCTGCCCGCGCAGGGGCGCCCTCGGCCGGGCCCGAGTGCCGAGTGGGCGCAGGCGCCGCCACAGTCCTTGCAGGGGCCGCTCCTTGGCCACAAAGGGTCCCCATGGGGCCGGGAGCCGGGCTCGGACCGGCCGTCCTCGGGGCGCTGGGCACGAAGGACCGGCGAGGCCGGCGCCCGCAGCGCCCCACGGGCAGGGCCCGACCCCCGAGGCCGAGCCCCGGGCCGCCGAGCCGCCTGGCCGCGCGCGGGCGGCGGGGCGCGGGGGCCACCTACCTGCCCGTCCCTCCGCTGCCGCGGCTCCGGGTGGCCGCCCGCCAGCCACGTGGACGCGCCCCCGAGCCCCACCGCGGCCCCGCGCGCGCGCCCCCGCCGCCGCGCCCCGCGCGCGCCCCCGCCGCCGCCCACACACTGGGCAGGCCCGCGGCCGCCGGGGCCTTTTAAGCCCGGACCGTACCACCGCGCCGCGCGGGGGCGCCCGGGGAGGCCGGCGGGCGGGCGGGGGGCCCGGAGGCGCGCCGCCCCCGCCCCCGCCCCCCCCGCACAATGGCCGCGGCCGCGCCTCTCCGCCCCGCCCCCCGCGCCCCCGGCCCGCGCGCCCCGCCACACCCCCTCGGCCCCGCGCGCTGGCGCCGCCGCGCACACGCCCCGCCCCGCCCGGCGCCCGAGGCGCGGCCCGGCCACCTGCTGCGGGAGCGGCCGGCCCCGGGGCCTGGGAGGCGCCGAGGCCGGGCGGCGCGGAGCCTGCTCGCGTGGTGCCGCCAGGTGCGGCGGGGACGGGGGCGGCCGCCCTGCCCTGGGCCTTCCAAGTAGCTCTGTTGAGCTACGACGCACCTGTCACACGACACCTGTCGTTGAAAGCCAGACGCTCGATGACCTGCAGCATATCCACAGACTCGGGCCACCATCGCGCCGCCAAACTCGAGGACATGGCCCCCCCCGGGGGGGACCCCCGGACTCCCAGCAGTCACCGCCCCACCCCCGTAAGCTACTTTCGGACGCTGGGTGTGCCTGTTCTGCGCACATCATGCGCGTAGACCCACGCATTCCGCGCGTGTCGCTGCTGTCTGCGTCCCTTCCCTGGGCCGCGGTGCCTCCGAGGCTCATGCTGTTGCAGCGTAGATCGAGCTTTGTTTTTTTTAGGGCCAAATAATATTCCCCTGCATGAACATACCGCATTCCACGGGTGCGTTCAGGGGCTGCTGGGCATCTGGGAGCGTCTATCTTCTCCCTGCTGTGAATAATGCTGTTAGGGACATTTGCGTACAGACTTTCTTTTTTTATTCGCAAAGATTTTATTTATTCATCAGACGCACACAGAGAGACAGAAGCAGAAACACAGGCAGAGGGAGAAGCAGCAGGGAGCCCGACGTGGGACTCGAACCTCGGTCTCCAGGATCACGCCCTGGGCCGAAGGCAGTGCTAAACCGCTGGGCCTCCCGGGCTGCCCCTGTATACAGATTTTCATTTCCCTTCCACCTAGGGGTGGGATCTCTGGGTCACGTGATACCTATTTTTAACATTTTGAGAAAAACGGCCAAAGAGCTTTCCTTTTTTTTTAGATTTATTTTTTATTGGTGTTCAATTTGCCAACATACAGAATAACACCCAGTGCTCATCCCGTCAAGTGTCCCCCTCAGTGCCCGTCACCCAGTCACCCCCACCCCCACCCCCCTCCCCTTCCACCACCCCTAGTTCGTTTCCCAGAGTTAGGAGTCTCTCGTGTTCTGTCCCCTCCCTGATATTTCCCACTCATTTTCTCTCCTTACCCCTTTATTCCCTTTCACTATTATTCATATTCCCCAAATGAATGAGAACATACACTGTTTGTCCTTCTCCGACTGACTTACTTCACTCAGCATAATACCCTCCAGTTCCATCCACGTTGAAGCAAATGGTGGGTATTTGTCGTTTCTAATGGCTGAGGAATATTCCATTGTATACACAAACCACATCTTCTTTATCCATCATCTTTCGATGGACACCGAGGCTCCTTCCACAATTTGGCTATTGTGGACATGGCTGCTAGAAACATCGGGGTGCAGGTGTCCCGGTGTTTCACTGCATCTGCATCTTTGGGGTAAATCCCCAGCAGTGCAATCGCTGGGTCGTAGGGCAGGTCTATCTTTAACGCTTTGAGGAACCTCCACACAGTTTTCCAGAGTGGCTGCACCAGGTCACATTCCCACCAACAGTGCAGGAGGGTTCCCCTTCCTCCACATCCTGGCGAACCCTTAGTATCTGACTTTGTTTCTACCCTCCTGGTGGCTGTGAGATGATACCTCATGCCAATTTGCATTTCCCTGATGAATAATGACGTTGGGCACATCCTCGTGAGTTTGCTGGCCATTTGTAGATCTCCTGTGACACGAGCAATGTGACACGTCTGCTCCAGGTCTTTGCCCATCTTGTGCTGGGCCCTCTGTGCTGTTGTCAAGTTGTATGAGCTCTAAATATATTCGGGTTCTTAATCCCTTATAATTCGCAAATATTTTCTCTCATGCTCTGGGTTCTCTTTTCACCTTCCTGAGAGTGTGCTTAGATGCACAAAAGTTTTGAATTTGGATGACATGTGCCGGAGCCTTCATTGTTGCTTGTGTTTGTTAGAGCTAAGGAACTGTGGTTTCATCCAAGGTCACAAAGATTTACCGCTCTGCTTTGTAATATGAGTTTTATAGTTTTTGCTCTTAAATTTAGGTCTCTGGCTCCAGTCAGGGTTAGTCTTTGCATATAATGTGAGGTTGTGGTCCAGCTTCATTCTTTTGCATGTGGCTGCTCTGCCATTTGTTAAAAAAGGATATTCTAGGGATCCCTGGGTGGCGCAGCGGTTTGGCGCCTGCCTTTGGCCCAGGGCGCGATCCTGGAGACCCGGGATCGAGTCCCACGTCGGGCTCCCGGTGCATGGAGCCTGCTTCTCCCTCTGCCTGTGTCTCTGCCTCTCTCTCTCTCTGTGTGACTATCATAAATAAATAAAAAAATTAAAAAAAAAAAAAGGACATTCTAAAAAAAAAAAAAAAAAGCTATTCTTTCCTCATTGAATGGTCCTGGCCCCCTCATCAAAAATCAACTGACAATACATATGTGGGCCTATTTCTGGACTCCCTCAATTCTGTTCTGTTAACCTATATGTCTGTCTTTACGCTCACATCGCCCTGTCTTGATCACTGTAGTTGTGTACTGTTTTGAAACTGGGAATTGTGAATCCTCCAAATTTGCTCTTTTCTGAGAGTGTTTCGGCTGTTTAGTGTCCTGTACACCTCCACAGGCATCTTAGAATGACCTTATCAGTTTCTGGGGGGAAAAAGCCAGTGGGAGTTCAATAGGGATGAAATTGAATCTGCAGACCAATTTGGGGAGTGTTGCCATCTTAATAAGATTAAGTGTTTCCATCCATGAACATGGGATGTTGATTAATTTTAGATGTTTATTGATTCCAGCTTGGCTAGGCTGTAGTCCCCAGTTATTTAAGCAAGCATTCACCTAGGTTGCTGTGAAGGTATCTTGCATATGTGGTCAACACCTACAACTGAGTGACCTTAAGTAAAGAGTGCCCCTGAAAAAGAAAAAAAAAATAAAAATAAAAAAGAGTGCCCTCTGCAGCTTGTGTGGGTCCCGTCCACTCAAGCGAAGGCCTTAACCGCAAAGTTAAGGTTTCCTGGAGGAGTTCAACGGCCTCAAGATTGCAACATAGGAATCCCGCCTGAGTCTGCAGCCCGCTTGCCTGCCCTGCAAAGTTCGGGCTTGCCAGATTGCCGGCCCCCACGCCTGTGTGAGCGGGTCCTCAGCGTAAATCCTGTGTGCGTCCTGCTAGGTTTCTCTGAGGAACACGCACTAAGCAGATGTTTCTGTTTACTCTTCTTTCAGTTCTTTCAGTGATACTGTGTAGTTCTCAGGGTACAAGCCGGGTACTTCTTTTGTTGCATTTATTCCCCAAGTGTCTTTTTCTTCCTGTTACTATTTGTAATGAAATAATTTTCTTGATTTCAGTTTGGGTTGCTGATTGCTAGTGTATAGAAATCCAAGTGGTTTCTGTCATGATCTTTTGTCCAGCAACCTTGTTGAACACATTTGTTACTTCTAACCGGTTTCTTTTTTTTTAAGAGTTTTATTTATTTATTCATGAGAGACACAGAGAGAGACACAGGCAGAGGGAGAAGCAGGCTCCCTGTGGGGAACCCGATGAGGGACTCTGTCCCAGGACCCGGGGTCACACCCTGAGCTGAAGGCAGACGCTCAACCGCTGAGCCACCCACAATCCCCTACTAAGGGGTTTAAAATAAGAGACAGTCATGGTCCCCAGCTCCGGAGGCTGGAAGTCAGAGATGCGGCTGTGGGCCGGGCGGAGCTCCCTCGCCGAGCCCTCCTCGCCTCTTCCAGCCGCCGCTGTTGCCGCAGTGTCCTCGGCCCGCAGGAGCACTGCTCCTGTCTCTGCTGTCACACAGCTTTCTCCCTGCATATCTGTCTCCTCTGTTAGGACACTGGTCATCTTGGATTAGGGACCATTCTCGAGTATGATCTCATCTCAATTTGATTCCATCTCAAAGCCCAGGTCGCAGTGAAGGGTCCTGGGGGCGGGTACTGCAACATTTCTTTCTAGGGACACAATGCAACCCATCACATCGAGGGGTCAAGTTCACTTTTTCCACACAGGTATCTGACTGCTCCAGCATCATTTCTTAACCAGAAACGTAAGGATTTATGTCTGGACTGCTAGTTCCGTGCCCCCCACCTCTGCACCTACCCTCGTGCTTAGACCACATTGCCTCGGTCACCGTGGCTTCATAGTAAGCTCTGCAATCAGGTAATGAGAGCCCTGCAACTTTGCTCTTCTTTTTCAAAATGGTTTTTGGATTTCTAGGTCCTTCGCGTGTCTATATACCCTGACGGTGAGCTTGCCAGTTTCTACAAAAGAGCACACTGGGGTTTGGACGGGGATTGCATGGAGTCCACAGATCACTGGGGCAAGTTGTCATCATGGGGCCAGATCCTCAGATGGCCCCAAGGCTCCCACCTCCCAGCATACAGGCCTGTGTCACCCCCTCCCCTGGAGGCGCACACACACGTGCACGCACGCACACACACATGGTGAGCCATCCCTCCCGGGGTTATGGGGGTTACGTTACTAACCAGCTGAGTTCCTCCAAAGGGAGAGTGTGCGGGACGGCGTGGCCTCCTCAGGGGAACCCCGCACTGCGAAGGGGCCCTTCCTGCAAGGAGAGATGCTTGAAGCAAGAACGGGCCTCGGAGGGCACCAGGTGGCACGGCATGAGAAGAAGGACCTGAGTCCTAGAGTCCCAGGAAACTGACCTCTACCAAGAATGACGTGAGCTGGGGACAGGCCCCAAGTCTCTGATGAGAAGGCAGCCCAGGCGACCTCCATGGCGACCTCCATGGCAACCCCGCGAGACCCGGAGCAGAGGACACAGTGATGTCATGCCGGGACCCGTGAGCTGCAGAAAGTGTCAGGTAAGAGCCCGGTGTCGTCACAAGCCACTGAGTTCTCACCGATCTGTTACACGGCAGCAGAAACCTAGAAGAGACACCCCGACTACCGAGTCCCCCAATCCAGGAGCATGAAACGTCTTTGCCTCTAAACAGAACTGTAATCGTACAATTCCATTCCTGTGAAATTTCCAGAAGAGGTAAAGGCACAGAAACAGAAGTAGATGAGTGGTTGTCAGGAGCTCGGGGAGGGGATGAGGGGAGGCTGCTGAATGGGCACAGGGTCTCCCTCTGCGGTGACGGGAATGTTCTGGGACCAGACAGAGGTGACAGCCGGACTATACTGTGAACATACTAAATGCCACTTTGATACGTATGTTTTTCAATGGTTACTGGTTTTCTGTTCTGTGAATTTTTCCTCAGTTGCCAAAAAGTACTTCTAATTAAATAAGGGGCGTCTGGGCGTCCTAAGTCGGTTAAGCACCTGATTCGATTTCGGCTCAGGTCATGATCTTGGGGTCCCAGGATCCTCAGTGGGGCCCTGCACTCAGCGTGGAGTCTGCTTGGTGGTTCTCCATCTCCCTCACCCCTTCCACAACTCCTGTGCTCTCTCTCTCTCTCATAAAAAAATCTTTGAAAATTAAATCAAACCCTATGCTGGGAGAACACGTGGCTCAGGTTGCATGTCCGCTGGTGGGGAGTGACAGGACCGCGGGCATCCAACCTCTGGCTCACATCCCAGGCTCCACCTGTCTGGCCTGCCCCCCGAGCCCCGCCCTGCTCACCCGCAAGCTGCCCGCAGCATGCTCTGCTGGAACACCCCGTCCTCCGTCGTGGAACGGCTGACTTCTCGCCCCTGCTCGCGTCAGGACCTCAGGAGGGCCTCTCCATCTCAGGCGCTTCTTGCTGCCGCTTGGTGCTTCTATCGCCCACGTGCGGACTCGCCCCCCAGCAAGGAGGCCTGGCCGAGCAAGAGAGGGCCGGCCTTGTCTCTCGGGTGCATCCTTGGCACCTGGCCTCCCCGGCCCACGCTGCCCCCCCCCCCGGGCCGGCTGGGTGACCGCTCACCGGGCCTGGTGGCCTCGTGTAGTTCCAGAGCCCAACAGCCATCCCCGCAGCTTCCCAGCTTGTCTGCGGTCCATCCTCTGTGAGCAGCACGTTCAAACGGGTGCAAGGTCCCAAGAAGAGGGCCCCCAGAGCTGCAGCGCCCTCCTCCCAGGAACTCCGGCCCGGGCCAGCCAAGCGTGAGGCCAGAGGCCCGGCGGCAGCAGCCTCACTGAGGACAAGGGGCCCTCTGTCAGCCCCAGCCCCACCGTGGCTGCGATCCTTCGCTGGCTAGAAGCTGGCTAGAAGGAAGCGGCTCTCCCTTCCTTCCAGACCCCCTGCCCCCGGCCCTGACCGCGAAGGCTGCCTCCTGCCCCAACCCCACCCAACCTGTGCCTCGAGGACTGAGGCCCCGCTTCTCTCATTGGCTGTTGGCCAGGGAATGCCCTCCACTCCCAGGGGGCTCCCCTGAGGAGGCCACGCCCACCCGCACACTCTCCCTTCGAGGAACAACGGAACCCCAGGAGTGGGACCCCGGGAGTGCGGGCCCACCTGGCCTACCGTGTGTGTGCGCCTCCGGGGGAGGGGGTCACACAGGCCTGTATGCTGGGAGGTGGGAAGCTTGGGGCCATCTGAGGATCTGGCCTCACGAGGACAATTTGCCCCAGTGATCTGTGAGTTCAGTGCTTCCAGAACCAGGTCGGCTCCGGCCGGGAGCCAAGACTGGGCCTTAAGGCGCTTGCTTTCCGGAAGCTGTGGGGCCTGAGGCGGTTCCCTTGCAAACCATTTCCACTGGGTAAGCTGGCTGAGAGGGGTTCCCTGGCCGGGAGAAGCCTACTCTTTTCAAGGACGGCAGGGGGGTTGGTGCAGAAGGCCAGATGATCCCTTCTCCAGGCTTCCCAATGCCATACAAAAGGCCCCATTGAGGTCCTCACACTTGTCCCCCACATCCAGTACCTAGGGTCAGGCTGGGCCACCCGTTGCCTGCCGTGCCCGGAGGTCTCTGGCCTAGGCGACTTCCCTCCCCCGCCTCCTCCTCCAAATGACCCCGGATGGCTCTGCCCCAGACACAGGGCCAGGAAGCCCAAAAGAGAGCTCCTAACTGCCAGCCAGGAGTGGCCATGCCGCATCGGAATGGGACACAGAGCCCTGCCCGTGGGAGGAGGGCACAGGAGCTTCTGTACCTGGCGAAGTCGCCCGCTGTCATATCTATGTATTTGTCCAGCACGTGGGACCGGACCCAGAGCTGGGATGCTGACTGCCAGCCAGGGCTTGACCCTGTTCCCTCTGCTTACCCGACGGGAGCCAGGGGATCTGGCTGTTGCGGCAAGGACAGGGAGCAAGAGCGCCCACCCCAAGGCAGGTCGCCCTCGGGGCCAGGACGGCAGTCCGAGCTGAGCAGCGAGCACAGGGCACCCCCAGCAGCCTTCCCACGCGGGGACTGCGAAGAGATGCCGGACGGGCTGCAGCCCCGGGAGGGCAAAGTTCGTTTCTAGAGCTGTGGTGGGGATGTCGGGCGGCTGGGAGCCACAGGGCAGCCGTGTCCCCTTCGGACTGGCAGCTAGGAGACAGAAGAGGAACCGCAAGACCACTCACAGTAAACGACCGCAGGGCCACGAGGTGCCCTGCGGGGTGCTGGTTGGCTGCCGGGACGCGGGCCCACCAGGCCCCAGTGGGTCACCCACGGCCCTCTGCAGACTCACGTTACTCTTCCACCCTCCCACCGCCACCAAGTATCCGCTTCCTCACCAGATACAAAGACCAGAAACTGTCTGATTCCATTTCTGTGAAATATCTAGAAGAGACAAGTCCACAGAGATAAAGTAGACAACGGGGTACCAGGGGCCGGGAGAGACTGCTAATGGGCATGGGGCCTCCTTGTGGGGTGACAGAGGTGTTCTGGAAGTAGAGGTGATGGCTGCACAACACCGAATGTACTCAAGACCCCCGAATTGTACACCTTCAAATGATCAGAATGGTGAACTTCAGCTCGATAAAAAAACGTTTAGAACAAAGCACAGTGCAGGTGCTCCAACTCTGACATGTGCATTTATTTACCATAAAAGAAACAGAGAGGTACAGGACGCCACCGGGGGCAGGGGACGGCCAGCCCCGTCGTGTCTCACCCCTGTCACGTCAGGGCTGAGGGAAATGGGGGGCGGGAGCAGCGCCTGGAGTCCCGGAGACCCCGGGAGGGGCCGAGAACCAAGGGAGCCCGGGGAGCCTCGACGTTCACCGGATCTGGCGTGACAAGAGCACAGAGGAGGCTAGTGTTGCGGTGCCACCCGCGGTGGCTCACGGTTGCTCTTTGGGCGGCCACCCTGCAGCCAGGCTGGCTCCCGTGCCCCCAGCTCGGGCCACCCCAGGGGATCCACTCACCGTGTACTTGTCCCACTTCTTCTCAGGATCGTAGGGCTCCCAGCGGCTGGCGGGGAAGATGTGCTTGTTCTTCTCGTACCAGCTCCGCAGCACCACCTTGCCCGCGTGGGACTGAGGAAGGACACGGGCCGGGCCGTCAGCTCGGGGCTGCCAGGCGCCTGCCCTCCTGCCCACTGCCCCCGGGCCACCGCACCTCGTCCTTCTCCACGGTGGCATCACTGAGCAGCCGCACATCGTCGTGGACGTCAAAGTTAAAGAGCGGCCCTGCGGGGAGAGAGCTGCTGTCGGGGCGCCCTGCGGCGCTGGGGCCCGAGGTGCTGGGAAAGGGGCAGGGCTGGCGGGCGCACTTACCACTCTTCCCTCGCGCCTTGGTGACGATGAAGTCGTAGAAGCTGTGGTGCTAAGAGCCGAGGGCAGGAAGCGATGGCTCAGGACCCGTGTCGCCTTCTCCCGCCCACACGTCCGACCACCAGCCCCACAGGCTGGGGTGCGGGGACACTGGCGAGAAGCCCCTAGGCACCCCCAAGCCCCCACCCAGGGCCGCAGGAAGAGAAGGGACTCACGTGGGGTATGATCAGGTCCTCCTTGATGTACATGAGCTGCTCCACCCCTGCTGACCTGAGGGAGAAAGGCAGGACGGTGGGGCCGAGGGGAGCGGCCAGTCGAAGAAACCCGGCGCACAGCCGGCGGGCAGCGGTCTGGGCGGCAGCCCCAAAGGCTCCGGAAGCACGCTGCAAGGCTCGGGAGCCCAGGACCCCACCGCCCTCCACTCCGGCGCCCCGACCTGAGTTCCCCGCCTCAGAAGCACAGTGCCCAGGCTGGGCATCCTGGTGGGAGTCTCGGGGAGCCGAGCCGGGCGTACGCCGCCTGCACCCTGACCTGAGCTCGCTGAAGTCTTTGCGCAGGATCTCCAGCGCCTTCTGCAGGAACTGCTGCATCGTGTTGCCCTTTTTCATCTGCACGAGCGCCCGAGTGCCAGGGTCCGGGAAAGTGAGCGGTGAGGAAGGGGACATGGAAGCCTGGAGAGGCACTCTCCAGAGGGCAGGGGCCCGGAGGCCGCGGCCAGGCACCCTGGAACCCCTGGCTACCCCTCCAAGGGCCAGGCCCCCGTCCCTGCTCCCCCGGGGGCTCTGGGGGCCCACCCACAGGAAAGGGCTCATGAAGCACCCAGGTCGGGATTGAAAGCTCCTTCCAAATAAGTAAATTAATTAATTAATTAAATTTAATTTATTTTAATTTAATTTAATTTAATTTAAAAAAAAAAAAAAAGAAAGCTCCTTCCAGAGGAGCTCCCGGGGAGCGGGGTGCGAGCCCCACACGACCTACCTTGACCGTCCGCCGGTGCCCAGACCCATCCCAGTAACTGAAGGTGATTTCGATCTCCTCACCTACAAAGCAGAATTGCGCCTTGGCCTCTGCAAGTGCCCAGGAGCGCGGGGCGCTGCCCTGGAAAGTGGGGGCAGCAGCAGCCTCTGCCCCACATCCCCCGCAGCAAGCACTCACTCTTGATCTTCTCCTGCTTGGCTTCCCACTCCTGCCGCAGCTCCTCCCGCAGCCGGTTCTCCTCTTCCTGGGAGAGGAAATGGGTCAAGGACGGAGGCCCAGGGCTGCTCGGGGGGCACACGGTGCCCCACGGCCTGAGCAGAAGCCCCGGCCCGAGCCGAGATCAGCCTCTCTTACCTCGCGGTCTCGGTCAGGCAGGAAGCTGGTGTCCACATCGGGGTTCTTCCCCAATTTCCTCTTCTTTGTGGAGACCTCTGGAGCAAAAAGAAACAAGGAGTCAACTGCGTCACAGGCCCCACGTCCAGGGCACCTGGAACCCTTGTTTCTCAAGCCTGAGCTCTGACACGACCTCCTCGGAGGCTCCCTGGAGCTTGCTGGCCCTGCCACCTGCTCCCAGCCAGAGCAGCCGGCTGTCCTCCCCACAGCCCCGTGGAGACCCATCCCGGCCAAGGGGCCTTGGCCTCGGTCTCCAGCACCGAGCTGGGCAGGAGATGGGGGCCTGTGCTCTCACCCCATCAGCTGTGGCCTGACGTGCGTCGGGGGCCCTAAGGCACCAGTGCCAGCATCTGAGGGAGCGAAGGCTGTGCTGCATGGGAGGAATGGGGGCACCCTCAGAAGGCTGGACACCCAGACAGGACCCCGCCACGCCAGGCGCCGTGCTGCTCACAGCTGCACACCTGACCTGCCATCCGAATGTCACGGCAGCCCCAGGCCCGTAAGCGCTGCTTGCTCCCCGGGAAGCAAACGGAAGCCCGAAGCCCTGCAGCTACAACACCGGGTCCGGAGGGGAGATGGGAGAGAAGCCCCACCAGGGCTCGCCCGGCATCTCGGACTCTGACTCAGTTTCCACAATCAGGACATGGATGAAGTAGCATGGCGGTTCCTCCGCTGGCTGCGCTAGCACCCGCGAACACTCTCGCGGCTCCGAGGCCCCTGGAGAGCGCTTGTCTAGGGGCGGGGGGACTCCGAACCAGGAAGGCACCGCTCTGTAGGCTAGAGTGATGACGTCATCACGCCCCAAGCTCAAGAGAGACCGTGATGCAAAAGGCTGAGAATGGTTTGGGCACAATCAGGAAAGTGGTCTTGACCTCGCAGACCCCCTGAAAGGGTCGTACAGACTCCTAGGAGCACTTTTTAGAAACCGGGGACCTAGAAGACGAGCCTACACGCCAGCCTGCCGCTCCAGGGCAGCGGTTCCAGAGGCCGCCTGCACCTCACACTACCCAGAGAAGATCCTGCGCTACTGCCCCGTCGAGGGGCCCCCTAAACCAAATCATGGCGGGGTGAGGGGGGGAAGTATTCGCGACGCCCTGGCGACACGCAGTGACCTTAACAGCCTTGCCCCCAGACCCGAGCTGTCCCAAACAGTGGTCCCCCTGGGATGCCACCAGACGTTACTCAACACTTAATATGACCGAATGGTACTGAAAGCCCCCTAATAGAGCCACAGTCCCTTCTGCGGCTCTGGGAACACACGAGACCCCAGGAGGCGCGCGCTCTTCCTCCTAACGGCACCCATCACGGCGGCGGTGGCCGCACCGTGCATGCCATCCCCTGCTTCAGTTCCCCGGCCACCACCGCCACAGCCCCCCAGGGTTTCAGATGTGGCCCCCAAGCCTGCCCCCGCCGGCTCTGCTTCTGGGCACACTCATCACTTGGCGCTACACGCCCCCCCCCCCCCGTAGTCTCTCTGGTTGCTCGTGGAATTCTCCTCATCCTAAAGGCCCATCTCCACTGTCCCCCCACGGGACGCTTTCCCTGGCCCCGAGCTGGTCCCCGACCCCTAAGCAGGGCACAGACCGGCCTGCGTGACTCGAGGAGAGGGATGGCACCCCGCCTGTCGGCCTCGGGGCCGGCCCAGAGCAGGCATGGGCCACACGGGGCCCGTGCTGGTTCATCCTTGTTACCCGGCCTTCCCGAACCGTCCCTTCACCCCACTTTGGCCTTCGGCTGAGACCTCTCCTGCCCACTGAGTAGCCCCTGGGCATCTGGGGCTGTGTCAGTTCAACCTGAAATTCGTCACAGTGCACAGTTCGGTGTCCCAGTCACACCAGCCACATGCTCGGCAGCCACCTGGCCGCACAAACGTGAACAATTTCACGATCACAGGAAACCCATTCTTCCTGGCACTTGTGAAGGGCAGCTTCCAGAGACGTCTTGCTGAGGCATCAGCCTCCCTCTGGCGGCCTCTTGGCCTGAAGGCCCCGTGGCCCGGCGCAGAGGCCAGCCACCTGCCTCGGATTCAGGTGGGGCCTGGCGGCGAGCCCCACCCCATGAGGCTGGACCCCGTGGTGCGTACCGGGTCCCCTCTGTGGCCTGAACCTCCGCCTGAGCCTCAGGACCGGGAGCGCAGGGGCCACCAAGGCCAGTGGCAGGGCCGCGTCTTCCTGCTGGAGCCTGGTCGCTAGAACCGGCCCTCACCTTCCCTTTCCAGCTCCTCTTCATACACGGCCACCTCATCCTCCTCGTCCCCGGCATCCTCCTCTTCCTCCAGGGTGAAGGACAGGCTGGAGATCTTCCGCTTGGCCTCCTTCTTGCGTTCCTTCTCTCGTAGCTTCTCGAGCTTCCTACCAAGGCACACACACCATGAGGCACCACGTCCCCGCCTCAAGGCTCCTCCCGTGACCCAGAGCTGCCCGCGCTCAGTGGGGGGGGGGGCGTGCAGCACAGGCCCAGAGCGGTCCTAGCGGTCCTACCGGCCTGGGGCATGTCAAGCTCACGGGCAGACCCCACCAAGGGGCAAGAACAGCCAGCCTGGCCTGCCCCCCCTCCCAAGCACTGGCTCTGGCTTGAGGGGAGGACTGACAGCTGAAATGACGGGCACCCACAGCTGCAGCTCCTTCGACTGCTCTTTCTTGGCCAACTGCTTCTCCCGCTCCTTCACCAGGGCCTCCTGCTTGGCCTTCATATCATTCAGCGTTACGAGACCTGTGAGGTGCAGAGAGATGGGAGGCAGGGTCGGTCACCCAGAGCCAGCCAAGCAACCGGCATCCGGGTCCAGGATGGGGTGGCACACACAGGCTTCACTCACCCACGGTGCTGGACTTGAGCTCCGCCTCCACAGCGTCGTAGTGCGCAGAGAACTTCTTGTCGATGTTAGATTTCATTATGTTCTCCTGTTGAGGACAGAGGATAGCAGTGAGGACCACCCGCCGCCCCACTGTGGAAGTGGACACCTGGGTTCTAGTCCCAGGTTGGCCTCTGGACTCGTGACCTTGGGCAAGACATGTCCCCTTTCCTTGGTCACTGGAAGGTTCTACGGGGCTATGAGGGGCCCTTCCAGTGCTGAGGATGCCAAAGGAGGTGGTTCTCAGAGCCCTGTGCTCTCCTGGCCCCTCCATGTCTCCTGCTGGGGCCCAGAGCTCCCCCAGTGGCCTGGGCTCACAGGCTCTACGTGCCTTTGGTGCTCTTCACACCCAGCCTTTAAGCTCCACGTGGAGACCCCAGCCAAGGGGTGACAGGGCAGAGTGAAGACCGGCCAAGGGACCTAGTCCTCCACGGAGCCATGTGGCTCTGTCTTGGCCCTAGATGTTGCCAACAGCTCCCATGAGCCCGCGCTCCAGCCCAGCCCCATCCCACTTGGTACCACACAGGTCCCCTCTGGCTGGTGGCCTCCAAAGGAGGTGGGCAGCAGAGAAAGGCAAGTCCAGCTGGCCAACGGGTCCACCCTGAGACAGCAGCGCCGGGAACCCAGCGTGAAGTGAGGGAGCCGGGCCTCGGCGTGCGGCTGCTTCCTTGGGCCTGGTTTCCACCGCGCCTAAGGTAGCCCACTCTCCCTCTCGCCCCGAGTCCCTGCTCTTTGGACAAGTCTCCCCAAAAGGCCCAAGCAGAGGAACCCTTTCTTCCGGACAGTCCACCGCCACCGGCCACTCACTGAAGCCTCGGTGAACCACCAGCGCCCAGGACGCTGAACCTTGCCTTTGTTCCGGCGCAGAGGGCTCTGCAACGAGCCTCGGTGGCCGGTGGAGGTCCAGGGCCTGTGGGGCCTCCCTTTCCCAGCATCCATTGGATCAGGGCAGAGGCCTGGTTCTCAGGCCTGAGGGGCGGGGGGGGGGGGAGCCCTAATTCCCCCAATGGGACCCCTGGCTATGGCTCCCTCCTGTCGGAGGCTTGTCACAAGCTAGCTCATCTCGGCCACCTGGGCACGTTTTACGGATGAGACTGTCGCCGGATCGCTTCCGCCCTTTCCTGGAGCTGAGCAAGCAAGGGCCCCGCCCCGGCCCGCCATCGGGGCCGTGCGGCCGCCGCCCAGGCTCTCGCGGGGCCCGGGAGGGCCGGGGCGGCGGGCAGCGCGCGTGCTCGGGGCAGCCCGGCCTGGCCCGCACCTCGGCGATCCGCTGTTTCATCTGCTCCATCTGCTCGCGCTGCTTCTCCCTCTTCTTCATCAGGTGCATGGCGCGGCCCGCCTCGCTCGCGGCGCCCTTGTACTGAGCCATGGCGGCGGCGGCGGTGGCAGAGACGGCGGCGGCGGCAGAGGCGACAGCGGCCTGGAGTCTCAGCAACTGCAGGGACGGCAGCAGCCGTGCAGTCAGCTGACGCCCGCGCGGTGACGTCGGCCACCAGGGGACGCGCAGTCGCCCCGCCCCCCGCGCCCCGCCCCGCCCCGCCCCGCCGGCCCCGGGGCCGGACCCCATTCCCGGCGCCCTTGGTTCCCCGTCAACTCCTCCGCGTCAACCCCGGCCCGAGACCGGGTCCCCAGCCCTACTTCGTGCCGCTGCCCCAAGCCCGAGGGCCGCGCCCCCGCTGCCGTCCTGAGCCCGCTCCAGGGCCCTCGCCCCGCCCGAGGCCGCCCGGCTTCCCGCTCCTTCCCTCGACCCCACCCAAGCGCCGGCCCACCTCCCGTGCGCGCCGCGGAGCGGCCCGGATGCCCTCTGGGTGCCTCCTCCTCGACCTGGAGCCGGGCCCTGCTGCCGCTTCCGCTTCCTCCCGCGCCCTGGGCCGGACCCCTTTCGCCCTGCGTCCCCCCGCTGACCTCCAGGGGCTGCCGGCCGGTGCCAGCACCAACTTGCTGGGTGGCCGTCGGCTCGCAGGGGGCAACACTTGCCCTTTTGACCCAGGAGCTAATCGCCTGATGAAGGGGGCCGCCTTGTACACTCCCGGAGCGGAAGTCTGATACTGATACAACGTAACAGCCCAGGAAGCCAGCGCCCCGCCCACTGCCCAGGTTTGGGAAATAAGACTAAAGATCTGGGCTCAGGTTTCAACACAGTTTTATTGGGAAGTTTTCTGTGAAATACACTAGAGGTTGGGGAAGGGGACACATTCACTTTGCAAGGTAAGGGGTTCCCACCACTAAGGGACAGGTCGTGGGGTGGGGCAGGGCATACTGGGGTTTGGATCCATTTTCCCACCTCCTTCTGCTTTGCTCACATTTCTTTTCTCTCTCAGCAAATGCCAGAGAACACAAACACAAAAACAAGAAACAAAAACAGCAAGATCAACCTTCAACTGGGCCGCACCCAAGCCCTCTCCCCTCCCAGGCCGCACCACAAGGCTGCGGGCAAGAGGCACAGTGCTCCCTTCTCAGATCGGGCGGGCCAGAGTTAATAAATTAGAATAAATTAACGAGGGCGGGGGGGGGGGGGGGGAGGAATGCAACTTTGTGCTGGGAGGGCCCCTTCTCTCCAACACACAAGAGAGTTGGTGGGGGGAGGCAGGGGGCATCTCCAAAGGCCACTACAGTAGGGGTAAGAGCAGTGGGGGCAGAAGTCAGCTTTTCCTCCACGTTCTTCCCAAACAGAGCAGAAGAATTAAGAGTGGAGGGGGAAGAGACACACACAAGGAGAAGAACCCTCTTCCCAGAATAAGGAAGGGCCAAGAAAGAGGATGCTATCCAACCCCCCCGTCTCCCAAACCATCGCTAAGGTTAAGGATTTGGTCAGTGAATCAATGAGGTGGGTGACAGGAATGTAGAATGTGGTGGGGGAAGCAGAGAATGCTGAAAACCGGGGTGCCCAGCCACACCCATCTCCCCAGCCCTCGAGGAGAACAGACTTGGGTCAGGAGAGGGGGCACCAAGGGCTGGGTTGGGGTGGGGTCGCCAATCACTGGTCAGCTTCTCCAAACACGTCATTCTGTTTGCGCTTCATGTTCTCAAAGTCAAAAGCGGAGCCTGCCATGCGCTTGTAGATGTCTTTGATGTCATTGCAGGTTGTCTCGAAGTGTGTGGTGGCATCATAGGAGCAGGAACAGAACACCTGGAAACATCCAGAGCCCAGGGCCAAGGTGAGTCGGGCAAGGGCCCTGGGTGAGCAGCTAGGAGCTGGGGCCAAGACAGCCTGCTTACCTGGCTCTCAGAACCGTCATCAATGGGCTCGTATAAGTCACTGATGGCCACAAACCTGAGGGGCAGAGAGGGGAGGGGGAAGACCTCGCAACAAGCCTTCGTCTCCTTGGTCTCTGCCCCCCAGGCCCTTGGCCCCCTTCTTTCCCCCCAGCCTCAGCCTCGGCCCCAGCCCCTCACTTCTGGTCAATGGGCTCCAGGAGCTCCAGGGCAGGCTCAACCTCCTTCTCCGGCTCAGCTGTCTCCACTGTGGTGCTGGCAATGGCGATGTACTTGCCCTGTGCAGCCACGTTGTGTGCGTAGGAGATCATGCACACGTAGATGTCTGCCCACAAGAAGGGTCTCCGTCAACATGGGCAGAGGGCTCCTGGAGGCTGGACTCGATTCAGGTGTGCCGGCCCACTCCTCCCCAGCCCTGCCCAGGAAGCAGCATCCAAACCCACCCTCACAGAGGAGAGTCCAAGCCACCTAATCGCTAAGGCCCCAAGCTGTGGGGACTGCTACGCAGGTCCCCGTCCTTCCATGCAGGGATTAGGCAGTCCCAAGAGTGACAGAGAAAGGCAGAGCCACTCTCAAGAGAGAACACACTGGAAGAAGTCACGTGAGACTCAACTACCTGACTTCCTGTTAACTTGGTTCTGGGGGATAATGATTTGGCAGGAGTTGGCATCATTGGTGTTCTTGATGGGGTGGCTGAGGATACAGATGATGCGGATAACCTGGCCGGCCTTCCGCACTCGGTCCGGAATGTAGCTGGGGTCACAGATCAGCTGCTTGCAGCGGGCCACCTGTGAAGACACCAGCGGGCCCATCCAAGCACTCCCCTGGGTGGTTGTGGGGCTGAGTGCACAGTGAGGGCCGGCACTACGCTCCTCTGAGCTGTCACCACTGACCCTCCTATAGTGTTCCGCTTCATCCTGTACTTCAGGGAGCTGGCCCCCCTATGCAGGGCTGGGAAAACCCTTCTGCTGAGACACTGTGATCAAGAACACTCCCTGGTCCCTGACGCGGCACGTGGGTTTGAGATACCTCTCGCCAACAGAATTAGCTACGTGGACTTCTTCTGGAGCTCTGGTCCCCAGCCCAAGGCTCTTGGACCTGATTAGCAGCAGGCCCAGCAGGGCCAGCGTCACTCACTGGGCAGAGTGCCCCGAAAGCGGCCAAGCCCCACCCAGACCATGATGCTTGCACTGTGGCGACGACATACCTCTCCCTCAGACTTCACACCCACCACCTTGCCATTCTCCATGATGATGTCATCCACAGGTTTGTTCAGCATGTATGTCCCTCCGTAGATGGCACTCAATCTGTGGTGGGGAGAACGACCAGAGAATCCCTTTCCAGGAGGAAACAGGGACTAGTGCCACTGTGCGCTCCCTCCACCAGCAGTGGGGTACAGAGAAGGCTGCCCTAGGCAGGCAGAGCTCAGGAGACCTGGTGGTTCTTCCCAGCTCTGTCACTGCCACAGACTCGGGATTTTATCCGGAGTACTCCTTCCTCTCTGGAGCTTCCACCTAGAATATTCTGCAAAGAGCTAGTATGAGGGTGGCCTGAAGGTACAGCTAGCTCCTCTGGGGAACAGAACAAAGGCCTCTGGAAAAGCCCTCTGACTCCAGGTTCTTTTTTTTTTAATTTTTTTAAATTTATTTATGATAGTCACACACACACACAGAGAGAGAGAGAGGCAGAGACATAGGCAGAGGGAGAAGCAGGCTCCATGCACCAGGAGCCCGATGTGGGATTTGATCCCGGGTCTCCAGGATCGCGCCCTGGGCCAAAGGCAGGCGCTAAATCGCTGTGCCACCCAGGGATCCCTGACTCCAGGTTCTAAAGCTCCAGGACCAGCCCTGGTGCTGCCTGACTCAGGCTGGAAGCCAAGCAAGCCTGCTGGTGCAGGCCTGCACTTCAACGCCCTGCTGCAGCACACTGCCCCCCACCCTGTCATCCAAGCACGGCAGGAAGTAAATTAGACCATGCAGGGAAACTACGAATGCTAGATGCTCAGGGGGGCCATTTCCATTCTTGGCTTTAGTCCTCCTGAGTTCTGTCACCAGAAAGAAACCATGCCCTCACCTTGCAAAGCCCTGGGGCAGCTCACCAAGGCCGTAGAGTGGGTACAAATAAGGACTCTTTCCATACCGAGCCAGGGACTCACTATACAACTTGATGCGGTTGATGGTCTCAAGACAGGGCTGGTCCAGGTAGCTGGGAGGACGGGGTCAAGAGAAGAAGCTCCAGCGGCAGCAAACCCAGCTCACCTCCACCCAAGCACCAGGCCGACCTCCCCCACCACCCTCTACAGCCTGGGGAAGATTACGGGTCAAATAAATGCAAAGAAGGAACAACAAAAAAAGGCAATGGATGAGCATGTGGCTGAGTACGAGAAATGTGCAGGGTGGGTCAAGGGAGCGGCACACGGGAACGGGGAGAGCAGGGTGCAGGCCAACAGGGGGCGGTCTGCCATGCCAGCTTCCCCTCACTCATCAGTGCGGTAGAGGGCCAGGGCATGGCCAGTGAAGTCGATGACATCCTGGCCCAAGTCAAACTTCCGGTAGACGTCACGCATGCTGGTGCTCTGGGGGTCAACACCCTCGAAGGTCTTGGGGTCATTTTCATCAAAGTTTGCCACAAATACCAGGAACTTGCGGAAACGGCGTTTCTCAAACATGCCCATCAGATCTATGGAGGCAACGTGAGAAGAACCCTCACGCCACAGACCGGGAACATCTCCTTACCACCAGGCAGACCAGGAAAGCGGGCACCCTGCTCCCAGCTGTGTTTTGCTGCTGACAGCAGTGTTAACTTTAAATTAGCCTCTCTGAGCTTCTTGGCCTGTTTCCCCATCTGTACAAAGAGGGGATTGGACTGGACAAGCTCTGAGGACCCTCCTGGCTGCAACACTTGGGGATATTTCACCGGTCGAGTCCAGCCCTTGTCAAAAGGCTTAAGTCTTTCAAGATAGAGCAACCACCCACGCATTCCCCTTGGCACGTGGACTTCCCTCCTGGCATCCATCGTGCGGCTCAAGGCAACTGAGGGAGCACAGAGCAAGCGGGCTTCCGGTACTGCACGGGGAACGCTCCCTTGGGCAAGGGGCACCCTGCTCTCTGCCCCTCGCCATGGGAACGTGTACTCACTGGAAGCCAAGGCTTCGGTCTCAGTGGATGGCACTTTATAGATCTTTCCCCCCTTGTAGACGAAGCTGCCCTCCACCACCTTGAAGTCCAGGTAGCGCGTCACCTCTGTATATAGCAGCATCTTTACCAGCTGCCCTGTGAGGCGGTGGGGCGAAAACAACATCAGCATACTTCCCCCCCCCCTCCCAGAAGCTCCCTAGCTGGTGTGGCTGTCCCTTTTCGGGAGCCTGACCCTACTCTAGTCATCGTAACCACCGCCCACAATATCTCTTTCATCCCTCTCACCATTGGCCATGAGGAACTTCGGGATCAGGTCAACGTTCCAGTCTCGGCCCCTGCCCATCGCCTCAGGGGGCCCCTCCAGCAATTGAAAACGCTTATAGAGCTGCAAGCAGGAGAAAGAGAGGCACCTCGAGGACCATCGCTTCCTGTCCCTGCCCCCCTTCCCAGAAAACCTGGGGAGCTGCTGTGGCACCCTACGGGAGAGGTTACTGGGGGATGGGTCCAGGCCTGGCAGCCTCACCTCTTCCAGGGGTGTGATGGAGGAGCTCTCACCCCCATAGTAGGGGTTCCGGTCCATATGCAGCACTTTCTTGCCATTCACGGACATGATGCCGGACAAGATACATTCCTGGGGAAGAGGGCAACATGCGCGGCACTCCCACCTGCCCACGTTCCCACCAGCAGCCCTGATTT